CTTTCTTTTTGAGGCAGGGTCTCACTATGAGACAAAGCTGAGCTAGAACTTGCAGTGTTTCTCCTGCCTTTGTTTCCAAGTGGTTGGGGTGCAGGAATGTACCGTAATATCCAGCTTTGCTTTTGTGACAAGTTCTCAAGTGGTCCAGTCTGCTCCTCCAACTTGTACATTAGTCCTCCTGCCTCTGTCTCCTGAGTAGCTAAGACAACAGGCTTGTTTTCTGTACTGTGTGTCCAGACACACACAGCCAGCTTGCATTTATGTATATGCTCTAAGTATAGTTTTTCTGACACTTAGGGACTACCCTCATTTCCATATTCTTAGGAAAAACAAGTATTTCGGGCTACAGACATTTCCAGAACCTCCTTCTATTTACTAAATTCCAGGGATCCTCTTCAGGTCTAAGGGTAACAGCCTCATGGTTACCTAACCCTTATGATTTTCCTGCACCTTGCTCAAAGATTACAGACTCAACTAGTCTAGTCTCTGCCTTCCTTACATCCTGAGATTACTGATGACTAGAATGATGAATATTCTCCAATTTACACTTTAGCAAGTTAATTTCCATATCCTCAAAACATCCTGAGGAAGGGACAATGCCAAGTGCAAATTCTCTCAATTAGGGAGGTACCAGAAGTTGTTCCCCCCTCAACCAAGTTTTGCATAGTTTCCCCTGGGAAATTCTCAGGCACGATTAATACAGAGGGCAATAAAAGAAACAAGAAACAAAAGATAGCTGGTAAATGAAAGATGGATTAGGGCTAGGTGCTAGCACTCTGGAGCCAGACCAGGTGTAGCCCAGGGGGAATGCTGCCACACATTGGGACCTGAACTCTGGCCCTCAAAATTGAGCCACAAAGCTCTTTACTTGCCAAGCTAGCTCTTTGGCACTCTTTCTTTTTTTTTTTTTTTTTTTTTTTTTTTTTTTTTCAGACAGGTCTCACTATGTAGCCTTGGCTGGCCTAGAACTTCCTACATAGACTAGGCTGGCCTCAAACTCAAGAGATTAGCCTGCCTCTGCCTTCTGAGTGCTTGGATTAAGTAAAATATACACCACTATGTTGTGTCCTTTCTTCCCTTTAATTGAACATGTTCTCTCTCCTACTAGGGTCCCATTCATACATAGGTACGAGATGGATTGTCATTGTTTAGGAATGAGCAAGGAAGCCCCACTAAGTGGCAGTATGGAAGGCACACTGTTACTTTAGTAACACAGGAAGCAATAGTGAGGGCCTTTAGTGGGACAAAGGCTGGGATGGAGTAAACCTGGGAGGCCCTTTGGAGGTAGACTAGACTAGAATAATGAACACATATTTTCTCAAAAGCTGGGCATGGTGGTGAATGCCTGTAATCCCAGAATTTGGGAGGCTAAGGCAGCAGTATCAATAGAATTAAAATGGCCAGCTTTAATTCTAGCACTCTGGAGGTACAGGCAGGCAGATCTCTGTAAATTTGAGGACTTCCTAGTCTATAGATTGAGTTCAAGGTCAGACAGACAATGGAGTGAGAGCCTGTCTCAAAACAAACAAACCGGAGGGAGTTTAAATGGATGGAAATTAGCATGAGGCTTAGGAAAGGAAGAGAAGGTCAGTCTAGCTGGCCTGATTGCCTCCTCTTAGTTTCAGCCACATAGTCACATACTAACAATTCCTATAACCATTAGGTACAGGTGCCACATAGAAGATGATGAAAACAAGAAGCAGAACTGGTCTGGTATTTGTGACCTCCAATTAGGACATCCTCTGAACTGCTACCTGAGAAAATTTTATCTGCTCTCACCATTCTCTCCTTTGAAGACCTAATGTCATTTAGGAACCAGACCAGGGGTCAGAGTCCACAAACAATTTTGATATTTCTTTGGCCTCCACTCAGGACATTTTTGGCACATGACAGAGGACATGGATTAAGGTCAATTCTCTAAACTGCCTGCCCCATTTTTATCTCCTAGGCTCATCATTCCTGCGTAAAAGTAGGCTCTGAATACCATTTAGGAAATTGGGACTTCTTTATTACCTTTACTTATTGTGTGTATGTATGTGTGTTCTCTCCCTTCACCATGGGGTTCCAGTAATAGATGGAAGCCAGGTGGTCAGGCTTAGCACCTTTACAAACCAAGTTATCTCTTGATGCTGCTAATCCCCCTGGGACTTTTTTTATTTTTAAACAGACTCTCACTATATAGCCCTGGCTAACCTGAAACTCACTATATAGACCAGGTTAGCCCCAAACTAAGAGAGATCCACCTGCCTTTGCTCCCAAGTGTTGGGATTAAAGTAAACCCTTACTACTTAAAAACAAAACAAAAACATATACACAAAAATCAAACAAAAACAGGGCTTCTCTATATAGGCCTCCCTGGCTGTCCTGGAACTCTATATAGATCAGGCTAGTCTTGAACTCACAGAGTTCTGCACTTACCTCCCCAGTGCTGGAATTAAAGGCATTCAGCACTATTTAGACTTTTAATAGACTTCTCTGTCTCCAACCTACCATCTACAAAATGGGATTTCTGATCTTGCCTATCTCCAGATCTGTTCTCTATTTGTATCTTCTTTCCCCATCTCAGGTGATGATGTGTGCATGTGGATAAACTGTTGGGGTATAAAAAAAAATCATTGTTGACTCTTCTTACCATTTTGTCATTCCCCTTTTACAAGTATTTCAGTACGGCTTTTCTGGCTTCAGGTACCTTCTTTCTGATCTGACCTGGATGTCTACAATAGCCTTCTTATGGTTTCTGTGCGCGCGTGCGCGCGCGCGCACACACACACACACACACACACACACACACACACACACACTCACTCACCATTGTTCTCAATGTAACGATCAAGATGATCCTTTTTTTTCAGATTAAAACTTTTATATTACTTTTATTTATTTTGTGTGTGGCACAGCGTATATCTTGGAGGTCAGAAGACAATTTGTGAGACTCAGTTCTCTCCTTTCACCATGTGGGTCCTAGGGACTAATCTCAGATCATCAGACTTCGATGTTTTGTTTGTGGGTTTTTTTTTTTTTGTTTTTTGTTGTTGTTTTTGTTTTTTCTGGGGCAGGGTTTCTCTGTGTAGCCCTGGCTAACCTGGAACTCACTCTGTAAACCAGGGTGTCCTGGGACTCATAGAAATCTGCCTGCCTCTGCCTCCCGAATGCTAGGATTAAAGGCAAAAGGTGAGCACCACCACTGCCTGGAGCAACCCTTGTTTTTAACTGCTAACCCATCTTGCCTCAGCTCCCTTTGGAATCTATAAAAAGCTTGAAGTGTATTTCCTTGTAGGGATGGGATGGATGTAGATGGTGAGAGCTCAGCAGTTAAGAATGTATACTAAGCCAGGCAGTGGTGGCACACAAAAGGCAGAGGCAGGTGATCTCTCTGAGTTGGAGGCCAGCCTGATCTACTTAGAAAGTTCTAGGACAGCCAGAGCTGTTACACAAAGAAACCCTGTCTCAAACAACAACAAAATGTATACTGCCTTGATGTACATGTATGTACCATATTTGTGCTGTGCCCTTTACTCCAGACCCTGAGGTTGATAAAAAAGAAAGGGGGCTACAGAAACAGGGAACTTCTCTGTATTTCCATGGATCACCTAGAAATGAAGTTCATCCATTGCCTGTTTAACTGGTAGCAGGTAGCAAGTTCAGGGATTCAGAGACAGAGAGAGAAGAGGAGAAGGGAGAAGAGAGACCAGGAAAGGGCTGGCACAGCCCCAAGGAAACCCCTTCAGTACCGGAGATGTTAGATCTGAGCAGATCTGGAAATCAAGAACAGGACTCTTTGACCTCCATGGAAGCAGAATGTCCTTTGATAAAGACAATGAGGGACAACAACCTCACCTCAGAAATGGTGATTGTGTGCCATGGTACCCGGAACTTGAGGTTTGGTGGGGTTTGAAGGGGAAGGGCCCATCAGGGTTGGGGGTCAGTAGAAATTTTTCTGACCTCAGTTCTGCTTCTGTGTTAGAAGACATTCTTGAGCTTGGGGGGTTTCTGGACAAGGGTTTGATAGACACAATATTTTCAGCTCTTTCAGACGAAGGGTTCACTTGTACTTACAATCTGAGTTTTTCATATTGGGTGGCTATCATAAACCACTGAGGATTACAGAAACACGGACTCTCCAGACTGACCTGAGTAACATAGACTCGCCTCTAAAATAAGAGCCGGGAGTAGTGAAACAAGCCTTTAATTCCAGCATTCGGGAGGCAGGGGTGGGTGGATTTCTGGGTTCGAGGCCAGCCTGGTCTACATAAAGAGTACCAGGGCAGCCAGGGGCCACAAAGTGAGACCCTGTCTCAATAAAATAAAATAAAGACGACCGTAGTGACTCATGCTCGTAATCTCAGCATTCTGGAAGACAGGCAGGTTGGATTATGGCGAATTCGTGGCTACCTAGGGAGACACACTTTCAAAAAAGTAAAAGCCAGATGTCAGGGCTGTTTCCCATTCTGATTACGTGCGTCTAGGAATCGGCCAGGAAACCGGCATGTGATAGGTTCAGTGCTGCTCAGTACTGTTTGACAAGGAGAATCCCTTTTCCCAATCCAGTGACAGACCTGCTGCTGGCGGGGTGGGACTATTCGCCAGCTCTAGAAACCACTGGAGCGAAGAATTTCTCACAGTTCTAGCTACATCTTATAGCAGAGTAAATTCCCTCAAAAGCAAGTACTCCTCTCTCCTGAAACTGACGTCTGCAACTATTGAGGGTAACTCTCTTCAGGGTCACCAAAGACCGAAATCTAACATAAAATTACTGAAGCACTAGACTGAATATGACTACCCATTGGCAGTCAAGATACTCAGGCAGTCTTCGCAGGACACGCCCTCCCGCTGGCCTCCCTCAACAGGAAGTGCCTAAGTCTGGCCAATGAAAAACGGGGCCGTGGTCTTAGTTTTCTTTCTATTGGCCCAGGGGTCCGGGCGGCGGGGTCTTCCGGTGCCGAAGCAGAAGTTGTGCTGCGTTCTCAGCGTGCTTTCCGCTCTCTCTGGCAATCTCCATCATGGTGCGGAAGCTAAAGTTCCACGAGCAGAAGCTTCTGAAGCAGGTGGACTTCCTAAACTGGGAAGTCACCGACCACAACCTCCACGAGCTGCGCGTGCTGCGGCGGTACGGGCTCCAGCGGCGCGAGGAGTACACGCGCTACAACCAGCTAAGCCGGGCGGTGCGTGAGCTGGCGCGGCGCCTGCGCGACCTGCCCGAACGCGACCCATTCCGCGTGCGCGCCTCGGCGGCGCTGTTGGACAAGCTGTACGCTCTCGGCCTGGTGCCCACGCGCGGCTCACTAGAGCTCTGCGACTTCGTCTCAGCCTCCTCCTTCTGCCGCCGCCGCCTGCCTACTTTGCTCCTCAAGCTACGCATGGCGCAGCACCTTCAGGCTGCTGTGGCCTTTGTGGAGCAGGGTCATGTCCGCGTGGGCCCAGACGTGGTCACCGATCCCGCCTTTCTCGTCACTCGCAGCATGGAGGACTTTGTCACTTGGGTGGACTCGTCCAAGATCAAGCGGCACGTGCTGGAGTACAATGAGGAGCGGGATGACTTTGATCTGGATGCCTAGTGAAGTCTTCTCCCCGTGGCTTCTCAACTACAGGTCACTGCGCCCAGGATGGGGAGAATCGCCCCTGTGTTCCGGGACATTTTTTTTAGGATTTGGACAGATAATTAAATGACTCTCTTTGTACTGCACTTGGGGATTGTTAAGTTGTTGTGACTTAAACTTTGTGGTATATAAGCAGGGGCGTATGCCTTTTAGTCCCAGCACTCGGGAGCCAGAGGCAGGCGGAATTTTGAGTTTGAAGCCAGCCTGGTCTACTGAGCCATTTCCAGGACAGGCTCCAAAACAACACAGAAAAACACTGTCTTGAAAAGCGGGGGAAAAAAAAGAAAAGAAGAAGAAGAAGCAGGGATATTAACCCCTTTTCTTCTTTGCTTTATCACCTTGACCTAGGACTGACGGATACAGATGGAAAATTTGAGTTCAGGTGCTTTTATTGTTAGGTTTTTGTATATAAAAAACGGGGTACGGGAATGTTACCTTCTTTTAAAGAAATCTTTTCCTCATGCCAATAAATGTCCCGACCACCTTGCTAAAAGTGCAAATTTTTGTTTGGTCGACATCTTACCTAGGTTTCTATCTATTGACCTCGATAGTTCGTGAACCTTAAGAATGGAATAGGATTGTAGGCGTGAAGTCTGCCTCAGGAGCCTCACGTGGAGGCTGCAGGATGTTGTACAAGCTGGATAGATTTGTTGCTTTACCAGCCGTTTTCTCGGAATGAATGTTTTGGCAGAGCTTTTATCCACAAGACTTCCTGTTGATATTCCAGCCCCAGGAAATACCATATTAAAGGCCTGGAGTGTTTGCTTGCCTAAGGAAATGATCACTCTGTAGCTTGGCCAGCTAGTGGTTACAAGTGACCTAGGAGGTCCCTGAAAACAGATGTTCTTAGGAGTGGTAAAATGTGTGTTTAGTTTTATGTGCAAAGTTGTGAGTTCAGTGTTAAAAACCGCTACTCCAAAAATGAGGCAAAAAGCAAAAAAAAAAAAAAAAAAAAAAAAAAAAGTGATAGAATTGGGAAAGAGAGCATGAAGTTTTAGCACAGACAAAATAGACTACAGACAGGTTTTGATATATAGCTCAGGCTGATCTGGAACTTGGAGTGATCCTCCTGCCTCAGCGTCTCCAGTGCTGAGATAAACTGCAGGTTACAGTGTGCACTGATAAAGCTTAGGATTTGTGTTTGGTTTTGTTTTTGGAAACAGCTTTTAACTGTATCCCTGGCTGTCCCAAGTGCTTGGATTAAAAGTTCTGTGACACCACCACCCTGCAAGGTTTAGGTTTTATGTATTTTCTCTCCTTAAACTAGGCCGAGGCATTAATGTGCCAGGCAAGATGGCTCTGTGGGGAAAGGAGATTGCTGCTCAGCCTAACACCCTGACTGAGTTCAATCCCAGAACTCTCATGGTGGAGGGGGAGAAGTGACTCCACCTGTGAGGTATGTTGTGTGCATTCACAAAAAATAAGCAAAAGTAAAACAGACAGGGAAGGCACCCTCATAACTTCCAAATATTAGACCCAGTTTTTGTTTGTTGTTTTTGGTTTTTTGAGACAGGGTTTCTGTGTAGTTTTGAAACTTGTCCTAGAACTATCTCTGTAGACCAGACTTGTCTCGAACTCACAGAGATCCTTCAGTTTCTGCCTCCCCAGTGCTAGGAATTAAAAAAGGTGTGCTCCACCACAGCCCTGTTTATGAATGGGAACCTTTTGCATGATACCACTACACCAGCAGAGCTGTTTATACCCAGTTTTAAGTAGGTAATATTGACCTACTTAGCTCTCTCAACCAGACCGTTTGAATAGGTAGACCCATTTACTCTACTTTTTAGATGTGAATGGAAGATGGGTCAAAATATTTGATTGCATGAAAAATGGATTAAGATACTCCCTTTTAAAAGACTGCCAGTGTTAACACAGCCAGTCCTTAGGTGTGTCAGAGTCTGCTTGACTTTCCAAGCCAGTAACAATACTAGGCAATGATTGCTCTTAACAGGATGCTATATAAAAATGCAGAGCTGGTGTGATGTACACTAAGTATTTGGGGGGTAATGATAGGAGGAACACTGAAAATTTGGGGTCAGTCAAGGCTACTCAGCCAGACTGTCTCAAAAGACAAAGGGCTAAACAGAACTGGAGGGCTGGAGAGGCTAAGAGCATTGACTACTCTTCCAGAGGTCTTGAGTTCAATTCCCATCAACTACATGGTGGCTCACAACCATCCATAATGAGATCTGGTGCCCTCTTCTGTCCTGCAGGCAAACACGTAGGAGAACACTATATATATATATATATATAATAAATAAATAAAATCTTAAAAAACAAAACAGAACTGGAGCTGTACAGTGGTGGCATGTGCCTTTAATCCCAGCACTCAGGAGGCAGAGGCAGGCGGATCTCTGTGAGTTCCAGGACAGCCTGGGTCTACAAGAGTGAGTTCCAGGACAGCCAGGACTACATAGACAGACACTGTCTGGAAGCACGCACACACACACACACACACACACACACACACACACACACACACACACAAAGTTAAAAAACAGTGTAATGTACAGAACAAGTTCCAACACAGGGTTACAGTTAGGATTACAGAAATGGCTCAGATGCTAGAAGCCTATTCTCTTGATCGCAGTTTGTCAGACTTAACTACTTATAATGCTAGCTCCAAGGGCATCTTCACTTTCATATGTACACACACACACAAAAAAAATTAATACTAATCAGAGAAGAAAGATAGGGAGAGATGGCTCAGCTAGGATATTTGGTTGTTATAAATAACATGGGGTATTCACTAGAGACAACTGCTAGGACATGGGATTTAGCTAATAGAAAGGCTTTATTATCCTGCTGGGTTTTTGGAATCCAGTGTAGCCCTGAGCCTTTCTTATGGTGAACTTTTAAGCACAAAAACTCTTGTGTTGACTTACTTCAGTTAACAAAAACACAGAAGCAGATCTTCAGAAGCCAGAAAGCAAGGTTAGTGTTTTTGGAGGAGGCAGTGAGACAGGGTGTCAGCATAGTCCTGGAGCTTGAACTCAAGAAATCCACCTGCCTGTCTCCCAAGTGCTGAGATTAAAGGCTTGAGTTACTTCACCCAGCTTAATTTCTGAAACTTGTCTATTTTGTTCAGGCTGGTTTAGGATTCTGGAACCCAACCAGTGGTCCAGCCTACTGAGTAGCAGAGATTACAAGTATGTGTTAACCACATTCAGCTGAAAAAGACATTATTATTATTTATGTGTGTGTGTGTGCGTGTGTGTACTTACATATGAATGCAAGTGCCCTCAGAAGCCAAGAGCATTGGATGCCCCTGGAACTGGTATTCTGGTGTGTTTCAAGCTGCCTAATATGGGTGCTCAGAATTGAACTCACATCATCTGGAAGACCAGTATATTTTCTTTCCTGCTGTGCTGGCTGGTTTTATATCACCTTGACACAAGCTAGAGTCACTGGAGAGGTAGGATCCTCCAATGAGAAAATGCCTCTATTAGATTGGGCTGTAGGGAAGGATTTATATCTGCCTGTCTCTGCAGCTCCCTTCTTGGTCCTGGCTATGGCCAGGACCTCTGATGTCTGCTCTATTTTGGGTTCTGACAGTTCGCTTTTTCAGCATTCACTCAATCTGGGCTGCTGGCATTCTCATTTTTGGTTTTTTGAGACACTGTCTCCAACTGGGGTGATGGTGGCCCACATCTTTAATCCCAGCACTCAGGAGATAAACTCAGGGCCAGCCTGTTAAGTTCCAGGACTACACAATAAGCTCATGTGTTTTTCTTCTCTTTTTCCAAGACAGGGTTTCTTTGTGTACTCTATGTAGCCATGACTGTCTTGGAACTTATTCTATAGACCAGACTGGCCTTGAACTCAGCGATCTTCCTGCCTGTGCCTACCAACTGCTGGGATTAAAGGTACCGAGCTTGGCAGAGGGTGTCGGGATTGAAACACTTAACAGATCACCATGAGAAGTGAAGATGAAGGTACTGCCCTTTATTACAGAGAGTAGTGGGCTTATATACCCAAGCCAGGTGATGGGCTAAGCATAGGAGGAAGTCATGCACCACCCACACCTGGGATCAAGGTATGGGCACTGCACACCAGAAAGTTCTGAAAACCTTGTTTGCTCAACCTTGTTTGCACGAAAGTTCTACAGCTGGCTGGGGAGAAGAGAGCTGTAAGGGACAAGTACTTAAATTTCTCAACAATGAAAAGCAGGGATTCTGGTTTACCCTGAATTCTTAAGGCAGATTCAAGTGCAGATGTCTGAATTCTGAAAGAGCAGCACATATGACTTTGATAAACTGCCAGGTGGAAATCACTGACTTAGTTTTGTTTTTCTTTTTTTTGGGGGGGGTACTTATTGGGTCATCTCAGGCAGGCAGGTGATTTTAGCTTCCTCAGTCTTTCTTTGCTTCCTAATCTAGTACAAGACTGGGTAGGTCAGGCTCACTTGAAATGCAAAGTATGGAATAGGGAAGGGATCTGATTGTTGTGGTAGGCTCTAGGTTACATATTGTAGATTATCTCTCCAATTTTATATATGTCTATAACAGGGTCTCAGGCTTAGTAAGCCTAAGACCTTAGCACAACTGCCTCCATGATGGAAGTGCACCATTCAGACTGTAAAACTGAGCATGTACCACATACCAAAACTAAAACAAAGACCTAATCCTTCAAATGCCATAGCTCTGGGATAGTAGTTAAGTGTACTATCCTTGTTTTGGGCTTCTGTAGTTCTGCATCTGGCTAACTGTTCTTGTTAACTGAAATATGTCAACCCAGAACATGGTTTTTATGTTTAAAAGCTCACCCTGAGGGGGAGGGCCTAGGCCCTGCTCCCAGTGATATGACAGATTTTGAAGACTCCCTATGGAAAGCCTCATCCTCCCTGGGGAGCAGAAAGGGGATGGGATGGGGGTTGGTGGGGGAACAAAGGAGGATGGGAGGGTCTGGGGAATGGGACTGACATGTAAAACAAGCTTGTTTCAAAAAAAAAAAAGGAA